TATGTGTAACAATCGCGAAAACCTAAGAACTCGATACTATAGTTAGGGTTTCTACTCTATTGGACGTTGTAAGTTCATGCAAACTGGATAAAGTAAAGAATAAAAGATCTAGTGTAGGTGGTGAACCTTGGATATTATGTCTAGAGATGAGATTAACTGCTATATTCGCATAGTGCGCTACATGCAAAATTTTTATAGCGCGCTATTTAGTGCTAAAATTATAATTTTTAGCAGCTCAAGGTCGTGTGATAATGTAACGAATGGAAAGAAACTTGAAATAGTCGATGCGTGCCTACTTGCTAAGTATAGCATCTATAGTCTATCTGTAGAATAGTTTACAGTTTTTTACGGTTAGTTACGACTGGCTTCATTTGTTTTGCAACTATTACATATGGTGGTTACAGGTTATAGAAGACAAATCAATGAGCTTCCCTTCATACTTAAACAATTTACTATTTACATTTTGAATTTGATTTTTGGGTCTGATTTGGGAGTGATTCTTATCTTTTTTTCTCTTCTAGATGTAGGTAGCATTCTACATCTAGAAGAGAAAAAAAGATAAGAATCACTCTTAACACTACCTATAGATAATTTCTCAAAGCACTCTTGTGATCTACTAATAAAGTTGTGCCCACTTTTACTTTAAATTATCTAGAAAGTTTCTTCAAGATATCTTGAAGGAATTTGAACTTTTAAAATATTCAATCGAATTAAATTCTATTGGATACCTTATAGTATATATTTAGACGTTAACGTTTATTGTTTTTTGTCAATCCTGATTTTTACTCTGTTTCTTTTTTATATTTTTATTTTTTTTGTTTCATGTTTTTTTAACTGTTTACTTTTTTATGTATTTGCCTTCGTCGAATAAATGATTTTCTATTCTGTTCTATTCTATTCTATTCTATAGATATGGGTGTGCTGCTTGGGAAGCAGTTACTATTACAGGTTATAATGTTACCTCCGTAAGGATTCAGCTTGGCCAATTCGGGCGTGAGACCGTTCTTGATCTCGTCCGGGCAGGGCGACACTTCGATTTTCAGAGTTCCAGGTATGCATTTCAGTTTTTTCAGCGCTGAACTCGGACGCTTGATCTCTGCTAAGAACTTGTAAAGGTCCTCGTCACGAAGCTTATCTGTTTCCTGCAAAATTGTCAACACGTGTTAGCTGGCAAGTTAACCTATCACGCGCCCATGAGGCACACGGTGTCTCTAACGCGCTGACTGTGTTTTCATCAACCATTTAAAAAATATATATAAAAAGAAATCTATTTTACAGCATCATACTTAAAAATGACCTTACTTTTGGATTAAGGAATTTCAAATTCGATTTTAAGAATGAATATTGTTGAAAAAAGTGATGAAATAACAAGTGGAAACGTACAAATTGTACGAGAAAGTGTTCATTATTCCATTTATTGAGTTCTCTAGAATTTTAACCAAATTAGCTCGTTTATTGTTCTTGTATAATGGATTGAAATGGACTATAGTCCAGCTTGCCTATTTTACGAACTATGTCCGTTGACCTCGGTTCTCTGTTAGATAATCTCATTACGAACTTTATCCTGTTGGATAATCTCATTACGAACTTTATCCTTCAGAGAAGCTCCGAGTCCTTATTTATTTTGTCAGCCCATAGAGATGATATTCGTAATACTACTATCCGCCCGTCTCTCGTGCGTACGTGCGCGATTGTCCGACAGACCTGCTTGAAGAAGCTGGTGACAGTGATGACGATGGGCTTGAAGGAGTCGAGCTGCGCGGCCACCTCGTCGGCGGGGTGCGGCGGCGCCGACCGGCGCTCGATGGAGCCCTTGCGCGTGAGAGAGCCGCCCACCTCGCCCGCGCGCCGCCGCAGCTGCTCCAGGCTGCTGGACGACGCCTTGCGGTCTGCCACATACGAAAGCTCTGCCGGTGACTTACGGCTTTGTTATCATACTTGCTCATGAACAAAATTACGCCCACCGGATCTTTCATTGTTTTTTAAAATTTAATTGCACTTTTCTTCTGTACGTTAAGATTAAGAGAGAAGTATTAATGCTTGAAAAATCGGAATTATTACATATAAGCTTGAAGTATAGAAAAAACACTAAACATTTGCTAAATTCATTTCATAAATTCAAATTCTGCAGCATTCTTAGCATATTAAACTTATTTACTTTATATCTTTACCATCACGGCTGCACGCGTTTCTGCGTTTCACGACATTTTAGCTCGAGTTTTATTATCTATGGAAGAATAGTTTGGTGGAACGCATTATATTCTATGGCAGGAAATATATCTTCACTCACCAAGACTGTTAGTGTTGGAGCCAGCAGACAGAGTGTTTTCAGACTGTTCTCTCTCCAGGCTGTTGGAACCGCTAAGGATGTTGAGTAGAGACACGCAGCTCCAAGCCAGCGGCATGCGATACTTGCCCAGACGGCTGCAGGCCGCTTGAGCACCAGCGCGGACTTTCTCACGATTCTGGAAATATTAAATAGAAAATCACCGTATGGCTCAGACATATTCACTAACCTGACGGATAACTCACAGATTTCACTCAAATTTTTGCTCGACATGTTTCGAATCAGTGTGGTCCTTAATTATGAGATTCCGCGGCGGTGATTCGACGGAAAGTTCATTGAACCGCCGCGGAATCTAAGGATTGGTTCGAAACATATAGAGCAATAATTAATAATTATAATTCATTTATTTGTGGAAACACAGGTTATATAGAAGCTGACATGTACAAAATACGTATAGTTTCACTGTGTCCGGCCAAACAGTAGGCATACAAGTATTGAATACATTCACTCACATGCACTTCGACAGACTAAACCAGGTGTAACATGTTTTGTTTTTCAATAATATTACATGAGCGTGCACACATGGATTTAATAAGTCGGTCAGAATTTAAACGCGATGATAGTTACATGGGTCGATTTTAATGGTAATTAGATGTCAAAATAATATCGTAACATGAATAACGCCAATAACATCTAATGTCAACGATTAGACAATGAATTTAGGGATTTATCATTTAAAAATTCAGACACATTTTATTACTCAGTAACTTGTTTAGTTGTTTTTTAAATAGCATAAGGTTTTTCTCAGATCTTAGTGCTTCCGGTAAATTGTTGTAAATTTTTGGCGCCATTACAAAAATACTTTCCTGCATGAAGGTAGTTTTACAGGCTTTCAAACGAAGTTGGTCATATCGTCTTGGCTTCATAGTTCGTGTGAACAAGTGCGAGTGAATTCGGACATACACACATAATTCGACTTAAATACGTGAGTTATCCGTTATTTTAGTTTCTGTACATATCTTCTCGCATTGTATGAAAAAAGCACTGTAAACACCTGTAATAATGCACCATTCTCGTATGTAACCACATATTAACCTTGTGGACTAACCTTACTTCCACACTTGAAAAATAACTTCACTTTTGGAGTAACATTTTTTAAATACGATTTTAAGATGTTATTGCAACGATTATTGTTGGAAAAAATGATGTGATATCAACTTAAAATCTTCAAAATATGCGTGAACGTGTAACACTTAATAAAGTATTAATTGATCGATTGCTTCAGTATTTTAACAAAACCGGTTTGTTTACTTTACATGCATAATGGATTGAAACGGACTATACATAGTTTGTATCTATTTGTGTTGACGCAAAACTTAGAGGTTTATAAGTTTAAATATATTTAAAAAAGTTTAAATGCTTAAATATATTATTAAAGTAATATATCATTTAAGAGAGGTATAATTATTAGAATGTTAACTAGAAACATTATTGTGTTTACTATATTTTACACCACATTTTTATTCTGAAAAATTACATAGAAATCACATACGAGGTGTTCACCCTAAGACGACAAGAATTAAGCGATAATGAACAGTTTACATACCTTATCGTCCTTTATATAAGGTTCAACGCACTCATTAACGTCTCCCTGGAGAACTTTTTCAACTCTGACGACTAGAAAGATGTCGGCGGAAGGATTCTGTATATCAAACACTGCACTTCTGCTCAACGTCGAGAGATCAGCATGAGGAATGTGTAGCGAGAGCATTTGCTTCGTACATTCTGAGTTGAGGTTGAAGTAAAAGTTTTCTGATAGTTTCTTCTTTTCTTTAGCATCGTAGAGTGCCATTGATGCGAAGAGGGGTTCCACGTCGAGTTCTAGCCTGAAAGTTGTTTGTTAGGCTCAATTTACATTGCGTGGAACGGAGGTGTCAATTACACCTCGCTCACTTCCCGCAGATTCGACAAGCGTTGCCGACGGCAGTTGCGGAATTTAAGCGAATGCGCGAGCATTTTCGAGCATGCGTGAGAATTCCGCGGAAGACGCGTGACGTGATTTTCGGCTCGTATCTAGTTTGTACGTCACACAATTGACCATAAAGTTCATTACGCTATGTACAATGTTGTAACAAAAAATAGCTTCCATTCCTTTCCGCCGCAATATAAATTGAGCCTTAGTCATTGACTTACAATTATATGGACGTCGGGTCCGCGCTAAAAAGTGACCGAACTTATAGGGCGTTAAAATCGTATACAGAGCGTCATTCACGCTTTAGTCTTCGTTTGTTCGACTGACAGCGAAGCAAGCAAAATTAGACAGTACTGCGATGACATTACAATTTAAATTCAACGTTTTAGCTTTTTCATATTCCTTTACATGTCACTACGTTTAAATAGGTTGACTTGGGACATTTTTTTCGTGGTTTTTGTATTAAACCCGTCGTCCATTTATTTGTAAGTCAATGGCCTTAGTGGATGAAATAAGTAGTTTTGTAAAATAGATTATCAGAGGCATAGATTTAAATAATTGCAGGAATTTCTCTTTAGCGACAATTCACTTGACAGAATAATTCATATTAGCATATCACAGGAGCAGTAGAGCTTCTTGTGAAAGAGTTTGTCCAGGTAAGGACTGCAACCTGACCTATTTCTGCCGCCAGGCAGTAATGTGACGCATTACTGCGTTCCGGTTTTGAAAGGTAAGGTTGCTGGTGTAATTACAGGCTCATGGGACTTTTCAACTTATGTTTCAGGGTGACGGGCGCAGTGGCAAAGCGCCTCAGATCTTTGCGATTTAAAGCTCTGAGTGGCACTGCCACTGTTACGGACAGGCGTGTCGCTTACCACCATGCGTACGACTTGTTCGTCTCACAATTGGTATTATATATATAAAAAAAAGAAAAAGTAGAGTAAATTTCATTCTTCTACTTATTTAAACTTTGAACACAAAATAGTAAAAGTAAATGGTGGACTAAATGCCATGAGGCATTCTCTACCAGTCAACGGGAGAACTGAGATAACAGAATTAAGAGTAGTTTTGATAAATTGCAGCTTTTACATTTTTATTGAATTGGTATTCAATTATTTTTATGTGATTTTACTCCACTAGTTTGTTATAATTATTAATACAAATATCGTACACTTAGAAACAATTCCCCAGATCCGGCCGGATTCGAACCGACGTCTTCTAGCATACCGTGCCAGACGCTATACCAACTAAGCAACGGAACGAATCAGCGGACCTAACGAATTTTTCTATGTGCTTGCGTCGTATCTTTGTATTTGGTTTTTCAACGACTTTAGCCGTAGCGCCATATATGAGAAATCTATAATATTTCGTCACCCAGTTAGATACTTTTACAGCTACCAGCCCCGGCTAGAGATGTCGCTATTCGTTGTATTTAAATTTTTATTAAATTGATATTCAATTATTTTTATGTGAAATTACTCCACTAGTTTGTTATAATAATTATTACAAAGATCGAACAATCGGTAAAATAATATAAATCTAATCGGTAATCTTACTTGAGCTGATGGCAAATGACCATAATTCTATGACCCATGACTTCACAGGGCATTTCAGCTGCTAGACGTCTCTCGACTGCCTCTTCTTCGTCGAGGTATGGTGTGTAAAGACCTAGCAGGTCTGATTGGCGGTTTTCCAATCTGAGAAAAACAACATAGATATATAATACAATACAATGTAAAAAATTTTTAAAAATAAAATAAACGGATATAAGACGAATAAAATAAACAAGGGTAGGTTTTTTCGCTTTAAGCGATTTCTGACAGACAATGTTGTCTGGATGGAAAGCAATTACATAAAAGACAGGAAAAAGACGGCGGTGTACGAAAACTTTGCTTTTTATTTATATTTGTATGTTTGTATTATTATTACATTTTGATAGGCAAAATAGGCGCCTTGGCGTCGAGTTGCGGACACCAGCCCGTTACACCAAGTACCAAGTATATTTTGATACCTCACACGTAAGTTGTTTAAATCAAATTAACTTAAATACATCGTCTTTATGTATGTATGTTATAGGTTCCATGTTTCAAAGTAAACGTAATTTTCTATGAGACGCTATCACCCTATTGCAGTTCCCTTAGCGAGGACTAACTATAGGCAAAATAGTTTTCTATGTAGAGCTAGCAAGAGCTTGGATAGTGTGCTGAGTAGCCATGACCTGGAAGTTGATATATTAAATTGTAATGTTGATGTGCTAAAGCGTAAACCCACGGACATTCTTTTTACCTAAGTTTATTAAATAATTTGTGATTAGCGCAGGTATTGGGTTGTTATATTTATGTAAGTGCATGATATTAAGAAATATTGTTTACTGTTCATTTGTTTAATGCTCGTGTATGATTTGTTTGAAGCTATAGGTGGAAACTTGTAATTGGCTTTATGTTTATGTTCCTGTTTTTATTAAATGTAAGAAGCTGTCGGTTTCCATGAATGAATAAATAAATGATACTAAGTGATTTCTTTACTTTTAAATATGGTACCTATAATATACATAAATAAAGATTTATTTAAAAAGTAAAAAATTATGTTTTGACTTATAATTTACGTGGGAGGTATCGATTTATTTATTAACGATTTCTTAAATATCACCGAACTTATAATCAGATATCGGAATAGGCAGAATATGTTTACCTAAACCTTCAAGTAATACAACATAGAATGAATAACACCTTCCTCTGAAATTCCGGATTTATTGTATTGTATTTTGTTTTATCTTTTTGATCTGTAATCAATCGACTGTGTATTTACAAGAATAGTTTTATAGCAGGCTTGAGTAGTTCATGAACTAAGAACTGGTAGGAATGATTTCCTAAAACTGATCGAAAGGGACTAGCTCCTTGTGCACATATCATTACGTGTCCTTTAAAACCGAAACCATTCCTATTCCTTCCCAATTCCAATTCCTCAAGGAACTAAAAGACTGAATTAGTTACTTTGTCCGAATTAACTAATTGGGATCGCTCCATCTAAAGACCAAGCAGGCATTAGTCTATTTATAAGAGTAATTGGACATAGTTATGCAAACTAGAACCAACCCACAAAATGTCACTTTCGAGATAATTAGATTTTTGTAAAAACAGTGTGAAGAAATAAACAGGTAAGTTATTTGAGACAAACAACGTGGCTTATGTGTAGCATTGAGAATGATATAGGGAAACTATTATTTTGTATAGCAATAAATAGAAAACATTATGTATCTTTTTATTTAGTTAACGAGAACCATGTTCTAGATTTCGTAATGAAAACACTAAAGATCTACAGTACTTCAGTACATGTGACATGGATCCATTTAGCATATTTGAAAAAATACATTATATGAAGTTAAGCAGCATGGTTCTTTTTAGTTATTAAAAAGTTACTTATTTAAGGTTGGTACTCTGAAGGACTTTTATATTCTCCGTTTTGGCTTGGTATATTGCCAGGATCTTTTGTGAGCGGATAAAGGACACGTCTGGTGTTCAACCTAAATACATAATTCAATTTCACTCGAGGTGTGGGTTGGTTCTTGTTTGCATAACTATGTCCAATTAAAAATATCATTATTTTGTTTTGATTTCTTGCTTCTTATATTATATCATTCAAATTGGTTCAGCCGTTTTTAAATTATAATTGTTGTATCTTAATAAAACAGTAATTAATTAATACGGGTTTATTGGGCACTCAACAAGTCACTTTTACAATGGAGCCCACAGAGAGGCGGAGAGCAAGGTTGAACAATTAAGCTAGTGTTCTGAGATCTCCCACTCTCCCACATGCACATTTAGACATTTTTCGATAATTAATGCAATGAACGCCTCTTAACTAAGAAATCCTATAATAACAAACAACGTATAATGGTACCTTACGTGAGAAACCTTTACATCTTACTAATAAACTCAAAGCACTAGAATTGGGGGTAGGCATGTCGCGGTTTAGTATTAGTTTTGTAATATCAAGCATTAATAAATTTAGTCTATTATGGTACCTAAGAGTAGGGAACTAACACGGCAGTCCAGTCATCTCAAATTCTGAAGGTGAAATATCAGGCGTCTGCTGGTAGTGCACCGATTGGTCGGCACTACAGTTGGTAAGTTTGCATAATGTTTGTTACTAACTTAGATACTGTATTTGTTGACTGAAAATAGAGTATGACGAATCACTAACAGAATTAGAATGAGACCCGCCACTTGTACTAAAGGTATAAGGGATATGAAGCGATTTGCAAAGGAAGGGCTGTAGGGATGTGTGTGTTTGGAGGCACATCATATGGTCAGAGGATCCCACTAGTTCAGATCAAAAGGATCGATATGAGGTCAAGGATATTGTAGCGAATCGCTAGAAATATTTTTCTATATATTTTATCATGGTCTCTTTAAGCTTTAGTTTTCTATTTAAATTCTAAATTTAAATGTGTTTGTTTTTGGGCGCCTTTTTCTGGACTTTAGCTAGTGTTTGTTGTTTTGCTTTGATAGCGACAACGTGTTTTCCAAAAACTTGGACTTGGGTATGATTTTCAGTGCATCATACAAGACAAAACAACAAGACAAAAACGAAATATCATGTGATACCACTAAACTCGAATGACAATTCTCGCACTCAAAACGGTTCAAACCGATTTGTACGATAATCGTATCAACTTGAAGAAATGTCATATTGGATCGTCTTTAGACAAGTCGAAAACTCGTAAGCAAGAATCTCCTTAATACATATTTCTCTGTGTTAACAGTCGAGGAGGCGATTAAGTTGCATGCGAATCTCGTATGACATAATCGAAGTCGAGATTTTAAGTCTTGCCTGAATATAGACATTATGATTCTATAATCTTAAGGCGATTATCGCAAGCAATAATTCCGCACTAGGGAATTGACAAGATGACGTACCTTCTAGCTTCATTGAGGGCATCCAACTGTTCGGGCGGTTTCCGCTCGAAGAGGTCAGGCAGAAGCGGGTCGGAGGATGAGCTGCGCAGGTCCAGGCTGGCCCAGGACCCGCGAGGGGTTAGGGTCTCGTTGCATGATGATGACGAAGACATCGAGGCCACTGACTGGCGCCCCGATGACGGCTGAGATTCGTACTTAAAGAGAGACAATTGGTGCTTTTATACGAAATGAAGGAAAAGTTAGTGTAATTAGATTATCCCTTTTGAAGCTCCCACATTTCAATACACGGTTGCATTGAAAAAAATAATGCTACTTAACAATGAGGCTGCCTGTTGTATATATTTAGTAGCAGTAGAGCTCCTTGTGACAGAGTTCCTCCAGGGAAGTACTGCCACCTTACCTATTTCTGCCGCCAAGTAGTAATGTCAGCATTACTGTGTTACGGTTTGAAAGGGTAAGAACACTGGTGAAATTACTGGCACATGGGGCTTGACAATTTATGTCTCAGGGTGATGGGCGCAGTGGCAGTGCCCCTCAGATCTTTAAGGCTTATTCCATATAATTACGTTACTGTTCTGTGTTGTCATACTTTTGCTTTTTTTTATAATATCAAGTGATCCACAAATTTCAAACCCATTAGCTTTAAGTTTAACAATGTTGACGTTATTATTCACCGCGGGCTTAACGAATTTATAACGAAGAACATATAGACCAATTAAATTTTTATTGAATTGATATTCAATTATTTTTTGTGAATTTACTCCAATAGTTTGTTATAATTATTAATACAAAGATCGAACACTCAGAAAAATTTCCTTCGATCCGGTCGGATTCGAACCGATGTATTCTTGCATACCGTGCCAGACGCTATACCAACTAAGCCACGGAACGAACCAACGGACCTCACGAATTTTTCTATGTGCTTGCGTCGTTTTTTCGTCGTGATTTTGTTGAAAAACCAAATACAAAGACTTTTTAGTCGTAGCGCCATCTATGAGAAATCTATGAAAGATTTATCACCCAGTTAGTACCTTTACAGCTACCAGTCCTGGCGAGAGATGTCGCTATTTACTGTATTAATAAAATTTTTATTGAATTGATATTCAATTATTATTTGTGAAATTACTCCACTTATCAAATAATTCTTGATACATTAAATTTGTATTGAACTGATTTTTTTTGTGAAAGTACTCTACTAGTTTGTTATAATTATTAATACGTTTGTTGTAATTATTATTAGCTAATTATTAATTAGCTACGGCTAAAATATCATTGAAAACCATGTACAAACATCCGACAAACAAGCACAAGAATTAGTAAGGTCCGCTGGTTCGTTCCGTGGTTAAGTTGGCACAACATCTGGCACGGTGCACTAGAAGACGTCGGTTCGAATCCGGCCGGACGAAGAAATTTTTTAAGTGTTCGATCCTCGTATTCATAATTATAATTCACACACAGCGACGAGAGTGTTGCCCTCACCGTCTTCCCTTTTACGTCATACTCCGACATATATGTGTGTGTGTTTGATGAATAAAGTACTACTTAATTTAACGCTCGTGAACCGATTTGAAAGTCCTTTGCTATTGCGCTTGATAAAAAAGTCATATGTGTAATTAAAATGAAATAATTGATGTAATGTAATGAAATTTAAATAAGTACTAACATAGTTGCTAAGTTTTGCTAACAAACATCGAGTATATAACCAGAAATAAAGATGAAAAGTTATTTAATTTGTTTGAAAACTATTCTGCCAAATCATTACGGTGAGAACTGCACTCCGATTCGCCAGCCTGATTTCGGAACAATTGACGGGTGTCGTCAATTGTTTCACTTCAAATCTACCAGTTCAACTTAAGCTTTGCTATAATGGACGAAAAATTAAAAAATACATATATAATATTTAATTACCGATGAAATATGAATCGGTTTGATTTGTAATAAGATGTTTTGCTACTTTTCCTACACCACCGAACAGAACAGCTTAGTTAGAGATATTATCTTTATTACAATTATTACAGGATATTTTTAAATATACGGAGACGTACACACAGGTCAGTTGTTGGCGCTGTACTATTTCAGCTTTCTAATTTGTGATTTCAGCGCAACGAGAGTTGATATTTAAAAGTGATATATATGCCCATTTGCCTGAAGAGTTGCCAGAGATGGATGGCACTTATTTCGTCTCCATTTCTAGTTATACACTTGATGCTAACAAACTATGTTTTTTTTTTCTGAAATGAATTATTAATACTGTTATTACTATTTTAAGTCCCATTTTTTTCCGTTACTTGTGTCAGTGTGTGTAGTTTAAAAATTCGTGTGCTGAATCGTAAGTGATTCTAAGCTAAGAAAGTCGTCAAAAGCTTTTTACAATGTACGTCTAAATACACACCTGTTGACCTCCCATTTCATCAGCATTAGCAACGGCAGGCTCAGCGTCAACTTCGTATTGCTGCCTCGGTGCGGCGTGTAACCGCTCTAGCCGCTCAGCGAGCCGCTCGCGCCCGCACGACGAGCCCGAGTATGCTCGCTGTTTGTACTCGACCACGGTGTAGTCGGATGTGTAGCAACGGATGCAATCCCGAACGAACATCGGAGCTTTCGAGCTGTTCGAATGGAACAGAATTTTATGGGGCCAATGTCAATAACTGTAAGATAGTTAACTGTCTATAATGCTGTACCAAATTATTTTAAAAAATACAATAACATTAGAAAATCGAGTTCTTAGGTTTTCGCGATTGTTACACATAGGAAATGAAACTATTAAATTGATTAAAATGTAACGATTATATTATATATTTATTATATATATTATATTTGATTAAAATGTAAAATTAAACGGATTAAAATGTTTGAAAAAACAAATATACGCGATTTAAATCCGGAAAAACAGTTTCATTTCCTAAACATTAGAAAACTTTCTTAAAACTGCCTTCTGAAAAATGCGTTCAATGAATTAATTGTTTTTCTTTTTTTAATAACTTTATTCCTCGCCCCGTAAATTTCAAGTTTCTTCTATACGTTTTCACAAATACCCTCTTAGAATTAATAACTGATTTTATTAGTACTAAAAACTAAAATTATAAAACTTATTTATTTAAATATCTGTAATGCTGATGGTATATTCTATTGTTTTGATTGTTCCAGAGGCCGGAATAGACTAAAGAGCTGCGTTAATTAATTAAATATAAAAACGAAAGTGTAACTTCCACGACTGATTTGACGTTAGCAAAATTCTACAAGAGAAGCCATAAACTTAAACATAGAATAATAACATTAACACACAAAAACATTTTTTTAAAAAAAAAAAAAAAAAATATGTATATTTATTGACATAAAATGTAATATACATATAGTTTCGAGATAGTGTTATTTTTTTACTTATGTAAGAAATGTAATAAATTCTATGTACTCCCTGCAACATTTCACCCAAAGCGGGTGGTACATGTCTAAAGCTCAAATTTATGTATATAGATCTTAAGCAGCGACGTGGCAATGCAAATAACATGAAAAACACGGTAGAATTATTTGGGAGTTACTATAGATACCTAATAATAAAACGGTCTGAATATTTTGCACGAGGATCCAATATTTGTCACCAAAATTGTTTTTAAGTACAATCACTGGCTAAAATTAGGTCTCATCTTTTGTTACAGCCTGTGTGTTAAACATAAACCTGGCCATATTAAAAATATATAGCATGGATGTGGAAGCTTACAGGTCTTCATCGGGTAGGACATGTGTGAGCGTGCGTATGCGCCGTGGTGCGACGCACAGCTCTATGTCCGCTGGAGGGTAGGCCAGTGGGTCGCGCGCGCCCACCAACCGCTCGGCCACCTCTTCATAATCCGGAGGCTCTATCATGTCGCAGAGAGATATCTGAGAACATAACACAGTACCTACATGAACTATTAGACCACCATACCAATTGCCAGGTCTCAAACTGCCTGAACCAGTATCTGAGCAAAGGAATCCATCTACTCCGAGATATTACCCAGATCAACTACACAAGCTAATTTAGCAAAGTTCCTTTCCAAAAGTGATCCTACCAGGAATCGAGCCCAGGACCTCCTCATCCAGCGACAGTATGGCAACTCAAATGTTATCACTTCCATTTAGAATTTTAGAAAATCTTCAGTATTTTAAGAATTGTATTGGGTTTACACACGGGTTTCCCAGTGCACTAGACCGTAACTATTCCACTATTAATACGTTATTTATGTTTCATAATGTTTTTTTAAGGGGACTCGGCCAGTATAAAATTATTTATTTAATTCATTCTATATTTAGAAAGTACTAACAGCTTTTAAGTATACAATATAAATAAGGAGTTGTGAATTATGAGAATTTTGTTGACTTAAGCGGAATGCATAACGTGCGGAAAATATCTAATTAAAAACTTCCTTCATAAAAAAGCAAAAAAAAACTTACAAACGCCAGACGAATTTAAAAAAGTGAATAAGTGAACAAGTTATTAGAAACAGGGGTAATTCTATACTTTCCCAGCATCTAGGAATAGATATAACAATACTTATGGAATTGAATTATATCATAGCATTTTTGTACTATATGTTTTGCTCAATGGTTATTGTAACTCTCTTAATAATTTATTGTCATTACTCAAGTCATTGTAGAACATTCTTAAGATGTATTTAATTTGTCATTAGTTAGTCATTGCTACGTAGTTTTTCTGGTATGACAATTAGATTAAAATTCAGCCTAACATTGAATCTTTGGCACCTTTTGTTGACACACACTTTCGCGTTTAGCTCCAAATGTTGTCAATGACTGTTTTTTGTGATTATGAGAGATGACGTTTTTCAATTTTTCGGCTTCAAAAAAGGAAGAAATTAATATAATTTTTTTTATTATTTTAAAGACTCCATAACTCTAGTATAGAATTAACCTTATTATTATTAGAGTAGTTACATCTTCAATGAGGCCTTGTCCAGTGCAGCCCCTCATCACTGCATAATTGTAAACATTAATTGATATTTGTGATCACCACTAACTATAATCCGTATGCTCAGCCTATCTACCTGGAGAAAAGAACAATCCCACGGAAGATCTGACACGACTGGCGGAATACGCCCGGAAATACAACGCAGAACTTCTGGTGGGTTGTGATGCCAACGCTCACCACACCGCCTGGGGGAGCTCAGACATCAATAGCAGAGGTGAGTTACTATATGACTTTATCCTATCAAATTGCCTGTATATTAATAACGAAGGACACCGACTTGTGTTACAAGGTCAAGACAAGAAATTCTGGACATTACTTTCTCTACGGCTAGGCTAGCCGGATTTATAACCGGCTAGCATGTTAGTGACAAGACGGCGATATCGGATCATAAAAACATAAAATTTGATCTGGGAGCAGGAAATGTCTGCCACCCCACTATATTTAGGAATCCAAGGGACACGACCTGGGACGTCTATAGAGACAGACTAGGGCAGTATCTACAAGGGTGTCCTAAATCGATCAAAACCACTCAGAGACTAGAGTTAGTTGTTGAGGTCACTTCCAGGGGCATCATCAGCGATTTTGAGGAAAGTTGCCCGCCAAAAATTCGGACTAAATCCGTGGTGGAATGCAAAACTGAGAAAGCTAAGAGAGAAAACTCGAAGGCTCTTCAATAGGGCCAAACTAACAAAGGAATGGGAGACCTACAGGAAGGCCCTAAGTAACTATAACAAGGAGATAAGGAAGGCCAAGCGAGCATCGTGGCAGCGGTTCTGTGAGGAGATCGCTAGTGCTCCTCAAGGTGCACATCTACATAGACTGCTTGCTAAAGCCAATTTCCATCAACCAGGACTGTTAAAGAAGCCTGATGGACCTTCTCGACTTCTACGATAGAAACCCTTGAGCTTTTAATGTCAACCCACTTCCCGGGGGCCTTGTGAGACACGCCCACTAATCCAGCAACGACGCTACATTCACCTCGCAACGAAGACTGGACAGAGCCGCCAACATAATAAGACCCCGACAAGTGGCTTGGGCCATAAACTAGTTTAAATCGTATAAATCGCCTGGTGAGGACAGTATTACTCCCATCTTACTGCAGCAAGGCATAAGTGTACTCTTGCCATATCTGGTCAAGATATACAGAGCCAGTCTTGCTTGAGGACACATACCAATGAAATGGACAACGTGTAAAGTTGTATTTATACCGAAGGTAGGCAGAAAGGACTACTCTCTTGCTAAGTCCTTTAGACCCATCTGCCTAACCTCATTTTTGCTTGAGGCAATGGAGAAGGTACTTGACAATCACATTAGGTCTTCGTCCTTAATATATAGACTTATCCATCACACTCAACGCGCCTATCAGAGTGGAAAGTGTACAGAGACAGCTTTGCTCCACCTTGTGGACAGGGTAGAAAGAGCGTTTGAGGACAGACAAATAACACTGTGTGCCTTTCTAGACAATGAGGGTGCATTTGGCAATGCATGGGGACCGGCTTCGCGGCCTCCACAGCAAGGGGTTGCCCGCAAGGTGGGGTAATTTCTCCTCTGCCGTGGACTCTTGCTGTGGATCAGCTCCTGTATAGGTTGGCTGAACTGAATATTGACGCTCAGGGATATGCGATGACCTGGTGATCAAAGTTCGAGGGCACTGCCAAAGTACTATATCATCACTTATGCAAGGTCAACATAACGAATTATCAATCAATGTGGAAAAGACAACCATTGTCCTCTTCACCAGGAGACGGAAACTAGACAAACTAGTGGAACTAATGCTTGGTAGCAGGGCTGTGGGCTTTTCCGCAGAAGTCAAATATCTAGGGATAACTCTAGATCAAACCCTAAAGTGGAACCGCCATATAGCTAACACAATCAACAAGGCCAAGATGGCCTTAGGTATCTGTAGCCGTATGGCGGGACAGCGTTGGGGTCTAAAACCAAAGGTGACTCTCTCGTTATATGAGGAAAGTAATACAGTGGTACTGCGCTGGGTTCCAGGCCTTTCTGACATCGAGGGTAATGAGTCAGAGGATGAACTGGCAAAGGCTGGTGCTAGGGAAACCTTTATTGGACCCGAACCCTTCATAGGGATAGCATACAGCCTGGCAAAGCTCACTCTGCTAAATGAGAGCACACACCTCTCCCGAAAAGTGTGGCTACAGAACATGGGTATTGAGCATTCAAAAGCACTGATATCTGCCTACAGTGCCAAACACTGTAGAGAAGCTCTGTCATTGGACAGGAATGGCATAAGAATGCTCACAAGAGCCTTAACAGGGCATTGTGGCTTAAACAAGCACATGTCAAATATTGGGCAGAGAGAAAATAGAGAATGTAGATTCTGCCACACAGAGGATAAAACTCCTGTTCATCAACTCACCTAATGCTACCCCCTGATGGGCGTACGAAGTTCCGTACTGGGAAGGCACATGCCACAACCAGAGGACATTAAATCTGTCGAAGTCAGGAAAGTCCTTCAGTTTTTCAATGCTGTCTTTGTGGCTTTGGCTCTGCACTGTAATTAGTGGTGATCACAATAGATCAGTCAACGGTCGCTGTGATGAGGGAATGCATAGGCCCTGAATAAAGCCACCCTAATAATAATAATAAAATGCGGAGCCATGATCAATTAATTTAATCATTCGTTATTTCAAGTACTTATAGATGGCAATAATAATTTTATGGAATCTATGCAAAAAGCCAAAATGGCATACTAAGTCGATTAAATAACAAAAATGCAATGTCAAACAAAAAAGAATAATTATAATATGTACAAAATGTCTATAAAAAAATGTAAAAAAAATGTCTAAATGTTTCTAATAACAGTCCAACTATGTTGCAATTGCACGATAGCAGTTGGATGTAGTCGGTATTATAGCATGCCGACTGGCTATATGCATACCAACTGTTGTCTTGGTACATTCATGTTTTTATGATGAAAATTTTAGTTTACAAACTTCTAATAATCCGTCGCAGAAGGGACTTTCGCCTTTTATTCATCCGTACACTGTTCACTTTAGTCCCACCTCTCCTCCACCACCCTCAGTCGCACCTTACGGTCTTCTCTTACATCCTATACATTCTTCTAACTTCTATTTCAACTCTTTCAAGGTTAGAAGCATCAAGCTGTGATGAATTCTCTGCCTGAATCGATCAGACGTGTTAAGTCTGTAGAGTCATTCAAAACTCTACTCAAAGCTCCATTTTCTTACAATCTAATTTTTATTTTTCTTCTCCTACTACTTACTATGTTTTATATAATCCTACTTCCATTTTGTGTAATCATATGTATTTTTTTAATTTATTTAAGTATTTTATTTATTTAATACTGTTATTTTGGATATCTGTTTTAGACTATTTTTATTATTATTCTTCTTTTTTCATTCGTGTATGTGCAATATGTGTTTTAAATAAGTATTCTGGTTGCGCCCTCAGTTAAATCCCTAATTATATTTATTATTATTTTATTATATTTATTACTATTATATGTAAATAAATAAATAAATTTCATAATAAAATTAAACTTATCTCATAATTTTCATGTAACCCGAATGTTGCCTGGAAGAGATTGCTATATAGCAATAAGGCCGCGTGTAGTACCTGTCTTTTTATTTTTGTATTATATTGTATTTGTCCCAGTGTGCAATAAAGAGTATTTGTATTTTATTGTATTGTAATAATAGTGTCATTTAGCCTTTAGACAATATTGACAGCTGACGTTCTTTATACGCGTACATTTCCATGTACGCGTACATAATGGTGGTATCAGAGAATGTCAGCCGATGTTCACAAAAATTACGATTATTCACAAACTTTTAAATGATTTTACTTCAAATAATAAATACTAGGCCACTTTGAAAAGTACATTATCCTTTTTGAAATGTTGAATATATACCTAAAATTCCTAAATAACTAATTTTATGTCTTTCATACAAACAACTGCGCTAATTGACTTTGAAGATAATTGGCCATTTTCTTCACTAGTTGAATATTCGCCAAAAAACGATTTTCAAAATGAAATCATTCCAAACCACAAAATATATGAAGTCACAGTACTCTATGTCAAATACATTATAACAATTTGGTAACACCGGAATGACCTTTTTATATAATGCTTTAATTAGTTGTTTGTTCATGATTGTTCTCTTTTTACCTCAGGTATGATCTCCACAACAGCAGCCTGTTGAAGAGATTCTACTAAAAATAAATACCTTGCTGCTGCCTAAACGTTGATGTTTTTGATCAATATTAACATCCATATAAACATTCATCGAAACTGACACTGGTACGAGTCTAGTGGCCGCCATTAAAGAAATAATAAGAATGAGATTAAAATTGGTTGTGTTTGTGTACAGATTCATAAGCATTCTGAACATTGGGCCAAATTGTGTAGTGCATTCAAATTAATTTGCATTCCGAGTCTAAAGGTTGTTTTTTCCTTTTTAATCTGCCATTGGCTTGTAAAAGCCATAATCTGATGGGTTTTCTTAATGGCAATGGAAGAGGGTCACTCCTGCAAGCGCCATGTCCTATCATAGTTTGTACTTGTGTTCACATTCGTCAAGCAAGGTTTAAGATGTGCCATAGTTTCAACTGCGTTAGGTTTTGTGAATGCTACAGATTTATTGCCAATTTTTATTCTTGAGGATAAAGAGTTCGGCTTTATATATTTTGTTGTAGCTCTGTAATTGTTCTTTTATAGTGGGGATATTCAAATATTCATAGATCTCAGTATTCCTTATAAACCATAGTACACTGGACAGTTCTCAGTACTATGTTCTGAAATTTAATTCTGAGTCTAAAGGTTAAGAAAATATAATTTCATATTATTGTACAATTCAGACTTCTTTGATTTGCATTATACTTAAAACTCCCTGACAAAATTGAGCTGTTGCCTCAAATTAACAGAAAACCGGCCTGGAATGCCTGTCCTACAGGAGTAAAGAAAAATAATAGACCACTCTATAATTATCTATAATGGACTCATAACACTCCTAGCATATTCCTTTTGCCCTGGTCTTTTATAATTTAGTTTGATTACAATATGTGCTCCAATGTTCACTTATACAAAGTGTCATTATTCTAATCTATCTCTTCAATACCAATGAAGCAATCCCTTTTCTATTACAGTCACTACATCAACTTTCATAGTACAATGCATTCTTATTACACCGTCATTCAGTCTCTTTGTGAAGAACAGTCTGTACACGTAATCGATTGAATTAACATTACTTAATACATTCTACACATGCAAAGATTCTCAATAAGGAAATTACAGGAAAGGGTGAGACAGACATAGTCAGTATCTAATAGGACAATTTACAAAGGTTAAAACATACCGATGACGAGCAGCCAGACAGCGTGCCGACCTTCGACTGGCTAGCATAGATCTTCCGACCGTCACCAGCATTCCTAAAAATAGATATAAATCAATCCAAAGCCTATTCCTGGCGATCCTGACCCTTCCATGCTTCGTTGGTCGGGCGCACCCAATCGAAAGCAAAATAGCCACTTGCCCGTAAGACTGCTGGTATTTACGCCCGAGAGTCATCTATAATTGCGTCACTAGGTTAATGTTAAGGTCAAAATGTAGGTTAATAGCTTATTTTCAGTTTTATAAATAAAATTAAATATTGAAACGGATCAAATTGTTTACAGACATAATTTCACACAAACTTCATTTTGACATTTCGACTTTTGTGTTGCCAACTTAGAGGATGGAAAAAAATAGTTTACATAGTCTAGGTTGCCAATTATATTTTTTTAAGGTACCGCTGCGTTTATAACATAATTTGGTTCACGAATTTTATGTTTCTACCATTGACTTACAATTATATGGACGTCGGGTCCGCGCTAAAAAGTGTCCGAACTTATAGGGCGTTAAAATCGTACACAGAGCGTCATTCGCGCTTTAGTCTTCGTTTGTTCGAGTGACAGCGAAGCAAGCAAAATTAGACAGTACTGCGATGACATTACAATTTAAATTCAACGTTTTAGCTTTTTCATATTCCTTTACATGTCACTACGTTTAAATAGGTTGACTTGGGTTTAAATAGGTTGACATTTTTTTCGTGGTTTTTGTATTAGACCCGTGTCGTCCATTTATTTGTAAGTCAATGGTTTCTACAGACCAAATTACAACTAATAACTAAATCAAAATAAATTGTTAGCAGTTTATGTAAATGCTATATAATAAATACTTTTAGAGTATTTTCAATTATATTTTATTAAATTTGCATGTTCTAAACATTAAATTATGCAAGTTTGCAGTATTGAGGCAATAAATACTACACGACACAAGTATTAATTAGCGATTTACTTATGGGGGAAAATGCCTTCAAACATGAAGAAGAAGACTGTAGAAGTGGTACTATATGCTTGAAACCGATCTGAAGCCTGTGGATTCAAATATCAATGTTAAGCAATTAATTGTGTAACAAAGCTATTTGAAATATCTTCGTACTGCCAAAAATACACAAAATTTTTGCAATACATGATAAATAAAAAACGCACGTATAAATCACGTGTACTTCCCGCGTGCTCAACCCTTCTTTATTTCAAATCACAGAGACAGTCATATAGGACTTATCAGCCGGTCACGTTGCCCAGGTACTTTTAATGGGATTTATCGCCGCACGCGCGTGGGGTAGGCTTCACCCGCACGAGACTTTTCACGTTCTGTCTAATAGACCGTGAAACGCTTAAATACGACGTCGATACGGAATACTGTCGACGCAATGTCTGCAATTTTTAGGTATGTACTTATTTTTAGACAGTTCTTGGTACTTATTTCGAACCGTTAATGTAATATGGCCCCATCTGCAAAATGACATTTTGTTCGGAGAGGGGTTTAAATCTTAGAGTTCTATATGCTCTAAGGTTTAAATCTTCTATGAACGAAATTAGTCGATTTCGAGGTCCTTTTTTTCTATAAAAGTTATTATGATGTTCATGTGATACAGCGCTTTTGACTATATGATCACATGTGGCTCTATTGTGCGGGGGGTACGATTTATGGTCTAACATGGAAATAAATATGACAGCCTATTTGAATGAATGCTTGCCTACCACCCAGGAGGTCCGTTAGCGATGATTAGTAGAGTTGTGCTCTATTGAACCATTTGGGAACACGCATAGTTTTATCACATACTTGTTAACATAATTTTAATACTTAAAGACAAAATACAGAGCAGGGTAACAAGACAGCGTTGTGGAGTGAAATATGGTAGTACAGTGACCAGGATAGGGAATGCTTCGACGAGTTGGTCATTTGGAAAGAATGAATGTTAGTAGATTAACGGCACTGTATAGAGATAATGTGGATGAAAGCGTGGGTACAGGTAGGCGTCGACGTGGCATAATCATGATTAGGGATGTCCTTCAAAGAGGACCGTATTAAAAGTGCTAAAAATAAACGGGCATGAATGAAGAGACTGATGCGAGTGGCGATTGAGGTTTCTTCAATGGGAGACGGGCGTGATGTACTGGTGCAGATATGTACTAGTTAATACTTGTTACAACGGTGAAATAAAACATAGTCAAATACATTTATCTGTCGTAATAGATTACAGTAGGTTTTAGGTAGATACACGAAATACATGGTGATAAATTAAATTCACAGTGGCACTATATGCTGCGCCTCATGGCGTATGAACTAAATAGGTAACGAGTATAAGGAACGTAAGTATCGTAAGATATTATAAAGTTCGCCGTTCACTTAATAATAATAAACCATTTATTTCAGGCCATAGTCCATAAGATAATGGTGTTAGCATCGAGTATATAACCAGAAATAGAGACGAAATGTTATTTAATTTGTTTGAAAACTATTCTGCCATATCATTACTGTGACAACTGCACTCCGATTGGCTAGCCCGAGTTCGAAACAATTGACGGGTGTCGTCAATGGGTGTAGTCAACTGTTTCACTTCAATACGACCAGTTAACTTGAGCTTTGCTATAATTGACGAAAATTGCAAAATTACATATTTAATTACCGATGAAATGTGATTCCGTTTGTTTTGTAATTAGATGTTTTGCTGTTTTTCCCACACCACCGAATAGAACAGCACGGCATTGTTAGAGATATTATCTTTATTACAATAAATACAGAATATTTTTTGGAATATACGGAGACGTACAATATTTCAGTGCAAACGAGAGTTGATATTTACAAGAGCTGTATCGCTAATATGTTACCAGGAATATATGACCCTTATTTCATCTCTATTTCTATTATATACTCCATGGCTGTTGCTTGCTTTAGCACTTAGGTACCACCTTGCCTATTTTTACTGCCAAGTAGTAATGTCAGCTTTACTGTGTCCCGGTTTTGAAGGGTAAAGGTGCAGGTTTAAAGACTATTAGTCAACTTATATCTCAGGGTGACGGGCGGCGCAGTGGCAGAGTTCCTGAGATCTTTTCGATTTAAAGCTCTGAGTGAGATTGTAACTGTTATGGACAGGCGTATCGCTTACCACGCGCACGACTCGTTCTTTCCGTTACTATAATAAAAAAAAGAGAAAGTAATTAATTTAAATATTGTAAATTAATTCCTAATGTGTTATTATATATTTGCATGTTCTTATTTAAGCTTAAATATGATTTTATTAACACACATAGCCCCGCACTATGGAAACCCTGTATCGCGGGTGCCATAGACACACATAGACAACCACATTTTACACCCAAACTCGTGAGAGAAATAAATATAGGCCATATAAATATAGAATATAGAACAGAATAGAATCATTTATTTCGGACCATGATCCATAGTAATGTTAGTAGGTAATACAGTAAATTTTTCTTACGTGCTATGGTTGTACAATACAAAATTACTTAATTCTAGTGAAATACCACGTCTAGACCACAACCCTACGCACGTGTAGTTGCAACCAATGTAGTTAGTAGGGGCAGTCCAGCCTGTTGGCAACGATGGCTAGGATGCCACTAGCGCTGCCGCGCACACGCATCAAGAGTGAGGCAGCCTTCTTGCGCATAATGGCTTGAAAGCCATCTGTGTGCGCCTCCGTGATCATGCCGGATGAACTATAGTATCGCGGCAGCCCCATTAGCATCCTAAAAGCGTTGCTATATTGCACCCTTAATGTATTCAGGGTTCTCTGCGTATACTTCACCCACAGGCTGTTTGTGTAAGAGTTTTGGCAATATGCTTTTAATAATGAAATCTTTACATCTTTGGTGCAACGAGCAAACCTGCGGGCGACCATATTACATCTAACGAACAGGGCCCTTCTCTCCCTCTCCATGTCGGTACTATCATGCAAGTTATCGGTTACCCAGTGACCCAGGTACTTAAATTGAGAGATACGACTTATCTCACTATCATAGAGAAACACCGGCAGCGCAGTTCCAACAAAACCTGCCTTTGGCTTAAAAACTAGGAGCTCGGTCTTTTTCGTGTTATACCTGAGTCCATGGGCTTCCGCATATGTTTCACATATCCTGAGCAGCTTACCAAGTGCACTGATCGCAGGAGTCAACAGCACCATATCATCAGCGTAACTGATATTGTTAATGAAAGTGCCATCAATAGAGCAACCCATTTTGGCACTGCTGAGTTCCACGATCAATGCATTAATATACAGGTTGAAAAGCTTCGGCTATGTAACCCCCCCTTGTCTCATCCCACATTTCAACCTGTAATCTTTTGAATACACTCCCACCCATCTAACACTGTTAGTCTGATTTTCGTACCAGTAGCGGAACAACCCAATGACTTCATCCGGGAGATCCGTCTCACAGCGCAACTTCTGCCATAGCACGTCATATCAAGGTCATGACAAGGTCAAAAGCCTTTGAGAAGTCGAGGAAACATACATTGGTATTCTTCTTTTTTTTTGTGTAATACTGTACTACTACTACTGAGGCATAATACCGCGCTCTCTGTGGATAGTCCGGGCCTGGGGGTCTAATTCCGTTCTCCGTCTGACGTCCGTCCGAAAAATAACTGTCAAATAAGTAATACTCGACCAAATTAAAAGACAACGTCAAATATGAAGCTTCACTCGCATCATGCGTCTTTTAATTTGGTCGAGTATTACTTATTTGACAGTTATTTATTCGGACGGAGAATGAGAGTAGACCCCCTTAACCCGAACTGTGCGTCATGCAAGTCTAGGTGTTTCGTTAAAATGCGATCAAGCAAGCAGTCCAGTATTTTAGCTGTTATGGTGGCTAACGATATTGGCCTATGTCACCATGCCTAAGGTTCAATCATAATGTAAATTACACATGCGACATTCTTTCTATCACAACAACCTTTAAATAGAGTATCTTTCTTCATGTACACTTCTTCTAACTCCATTCTACTTCATAGGGCTACAATAATTGTCCTAACAGGTCCTTGACCTCATATCGATCCTCCGGATCTGAACTAGTGGGATCCTCTGACCCTATGATGGGCCTCCACACA